ATAAATGAGCCAACTCTTGATTTATACCTTCACAATCATATGGTGGCACTTACAACATTATTTGTCCATTTTTTTAAAATAATAATAATTTTATTTGGTATAAAAAAATTATATCATAAATTTGATATTAATATATAATTAAAATAAAATATCACTAAAATAACATCTCTTTGCTTCAAACCTCTCTGTCTATCTGTCTATTATTATTATTATTATCATTATTGGCACCATCATCATTATATCTTATATGTTATAGTGATCGAGATGGGCACAAATTAAAAATTAAGTGGTAAAAGAAGTTAGGGAGAGTGAACTAATATAGGACAAAAGTTGGGTTTAATAAATGAATAATAAATTTTTTTTTACTAAAAAATGTAAGAGAAAGCAATAATTTAATTTTTTTTATCAATGTAATTTTTAATTATTTGTTATGAGATTAACCCTAAAGGTATATATGCTTTATGGATCTTCTTCTTATATTAGAGCTCTAGATATTAATCATCTTTCCTCTCAATTAAAAGTACCATCAATTATTATATATAAAAAATGCATTATTACATGCTGTCTAAGGGTTCATTTGTGATAACTTTCTTACGACTTTTTAAAGCAACTTTATAGTACAAAAATTTTTAATTCAAAATTATTAATTTATAAAAAAAGCTAATGTTGCGTCCTAAAATATTCACGGCAGTAGAGAAGTATAAAGTTTAACGTCTTAGTGTTGAACGAAGATCCAACACGCATACATATAAAAAGAGATAGTACATCATTTATAAGAGACACTAAGATTTTTATATGGAAAATCCCTGAAAAGGGAGAAAAATCATGGGGCCTAGCCCAAATTAAATGAATCGACAACTATTTACAGTTGATTACAACTGAGGCCCTTCATAGGGGGGGAAGAGGGGGGGGGGGGAAGACCTTGGCTAGGGAAGGCCTTGGCCTTGATGTAACAAATATACATCATATAGAATGTATTACATGATGGAAACATGAATAATTATTGTTAATGTGTTCATTTGGTCCGAAGGGCCATAATCCGTGGACGAGGGAGGTCAGAAAGATCATTGTCTTGCGATAGAGGTCAGAGAACCATAATCGGCGGGTGACAGAAGTTAGAAGGATAGTAGTCGGCGGGCGATGGAGGTTGGAAGGATCATAGTTAGTGCGCGATGGAGGTCATAAAGACCATTATCTAGCAATGAAGGTCGGAAGACCGTTGCTGGCAGGCGATGGAGGCCGAATGGACCGTAGTTAGCGGACGATGGAGGTCATAAAGACCATTGTCTAGCGCCGGAGTTTGGAAGGACCATAGTCGGGGGGAGACGAAGGTCGGAAGGACTGTTGACAGACGGAATTCCGGTGTACGGGTGGAAGTCTGACATCAGGTAGAAGTCTGACGACGAGTGAAAGTTAAGCATCGGGTAGAAGTTCAACAAAAGTTCAACGACGGATAGAAGTCTGACGACGGACAGAAGTTCAGCTTCTAGTATGAGTCTGACGACGGACAAAAGTTTGGCATTTGGTAGAAATTTGACATTGGATAGGAGTCCGGCAACAGGAGAAAGTTTGACATCAGGTAGAAGTTTGACGAAAGTTTGGCGACTGACATAAGTCCGACAACGGGTGAAAGTTCGGCGTCGGGTGGAAGTATGAAGAAAGTCTCGTGACGGGCAAAAGTTTAACGTCAGGTAGAAGTATGTCGAAAGTTTGACAACGGACATAAGTCCGGAGTCGGGTAAAAATTTGGCATCGGATAGGAGTTCGGTGACAGGTGGAAGTTTAACGTTGGGTAGAAGTCCGACGACAGACAGAAGTTCGACGTCTGCTAGAAATTCGGTGTAAGATAGGTGTCCGACAACAGGAGAAAGTCCGACGACGGACATAAATCTGGAGTCGGTTGTTGGCCGGGAAGTGGTCGAGAAGGAGTATGATGGCAAGAAAATTTTTTCTTATCTTCCTTGTCTTCTTGCTTGAGCTCCCTTCCTCATCTCCCTTTGGGGGTCCCCTTCTATGAGAAATGAGAGGTCTATTTATAGTTTTCTAAGAGTGACATGATCAATAAATAGGAGGAAAATCAAAGATGAATTGGGAGTTGTTTGAATGGACGACTGATGTTGATTCCCTAGATCATAGACCATTTACTAGACATTTAAATAGCTTAATTATATAAGAATTAACGATCTTGGGCTCGTTAGATTCGTCTCATCGAGCCGCTCGATTTGACTATAAGCACGTCACATTTTGAAACCGTTCGATAATCCAAATTATGATTTGAACCTTCAAAATGCCCTTCGGGTCGGCAATTTGGACCCATTTGGGCTCAGATTGAGTCCAATTTGGCGTCGTTGGGTTCGTATTTCCGAGATGTTCAGTTCGACTATAAGCTTGTTGAAATCAGAGTTCAGATGGTCTCTGATTTAATTTTTGAAGTTTCTAATTTAATTTTCCCTCGAGTTTCGCAACCGAGTATCAGATATTTTAGAAAGTAGTAAGAAAGTTGTTCCAAAGTTAGCCCTACATTTATACTTATTTAAGTATAAAGTTATAGTGTTTTAAATGCTGTGTCGTTGGTGAATGTTCCTACTGAGTTGATTTCTTTAGTATATTCGAATTCTCAAGTTATTGGCAAGTGTTTGGATCAAAATGATTGGTTGGATGGTTCTTGTTCATCACAATGTGGGGATGTTGGGACTCACCTTGACACTATAGAGGATGATGTGTATAATTTGAAAGTGAGTCGTCTTGTCCAAAGCGGTGGCAAGCGATGCCGGAAAGCTAAAAAGAAGTAATTGAGAGGTTTCTTGTAATGTTTAATATCATTTTGTTAGCAAATTGGTGTTGTTTGGTGTTTTGTGGTTTGATGGCAAGGCTGAGAGTTGTTGTATTTTGCTTTTCGGACTATGATGAGGCAGACCTCCTACACGTCCCTTTGTAAGGCCATGGTTTGTTTTGGCAACCTTGGTGGATCCTTTTTCGGTGCATTCGAGGGTGGATTTCATATTTGGGGTTTCTCGCTAATGTTTATTCTTCTTCCGATGGATGGTCCAAGCTTGACAACCAGGTGGTGATTCTGAGTCCCGGCTCTTCGAATTATTTATCTTTCTCGGCTTACTTTGCTTTTTTGGGTTAATGTGGCCTTCTTTCAGCTTTGTATCTTTGCTTTTTTTTTTGCCTTTTTTTGCCTTTTTTTGCCTTTTGGTTGTATGTCCATTTTCTTTTGGAATAAATTTATTTTGGTTACCAAAAAAAAAAAAGTTAGTAGTGTTTTAAACTATCATATCAATCTCTCCATCACTTTCACTCCGTCTCTTCATTTTCCTGCTCCTTTCCTCTCTTAAAGTCTATCAAACGAAACAAGCCTTATATAATCGTATAAAATAACACCAAATCAATTTCAGTTCTATAGAAAATCTTGAAAAGAACCGATCGATCGTGACCAATCTCAAGAAGAAACTAACATGAATAAGCTAAGGTTGGTCGTCAAACAAAAAAAAAGGAAATAAAATTGGCAGGCAACTTTCCCATCCGTTCACCTGCATACAAAATAATCTTCCCTTTTCTCTAATTACTTGGCCGTGAACCCTTTAACATTCTGGGGATTATTAAATATATAAGAAGATCACTTAGAGTGATTTGATGTCTCAGCCTCTCTCTTTGGAGTAATTATTACGTTCCGACAAAAAATCAGAAATCCGGACGTATACTGAGCAATACTGAGTACTCAATATTGAGTTTCAGGTGGCTGGCGAGTGATTATTGGTCTATAAATGCGTCCGGTGACCTGACGTAATAATTGTTCCTCCCTTTGACCACTATTTATAAAGTTTAGGTCAAAATAAAATGCTATGAAAGAGATTATATTAAACGGTACAAGTAAAATACATGAGGATTGTAGGCATGAAACTCTAATTCATAAAGAACATATATTCATTGTTTAATAGAGGTCGAATTTAGAGAATGAAGTTGCTTGCCTGATTTACCTTAGATTTCCTTTTGAACGATTTTTTTATTGCTTCTTAAAATAGTTTTTTATATTAGAGAAATGCTTTAAAAACTAATAAGAAAATTATCCCAAATGAAATCTTAATCCACAAAATAATGGAGATTTGCTTTTCTGCTTTGAGCGAGTTGTCTTTGTTAGGGATGGAAGTAAAACACCGCAACAAAACAAAACAATAAAAATAGAAATGCAGAGAAAATAAAGGACAACAAGATTTAACATGGAAAACTCAAAATAGGGAAAAAATCACAGAACCACACCACACAAAAATACCACTATGAAAATGAGGGAAAATAAGGGCAGATCTCTCCTCTCTCGCTCTCTCATTGTTTCCCTTCTTTCTTACACAATTTTCTAACTCAAAACACGAGAAAATCAAGTTGATAACACCAACAGACGTCACCCTTTAGAAAAAAATGAAAAAAAAATTGTCCACTCCACCTTGAAGTGCTGTGGCGTCAGTTTGGAGCGCTACGACGCTAAAAACCTCTTTCATCTTATGTGGAAATAATAGCTCCATAATATAACTTAAATAAATTTACTAAATCACTATATTTTAAGTTATTATAAATAAAATTTTATCTATTTAAATAGAAATATTAGTACAACAAATTACATGTAAGTATTCATAGTATATTTCTTTGTGCATTAAATACTTTAGCTTCATTTGAGACAACTTTCTTAGTATTTTTTTAAAACAAATTTTTTAGTATAATTTTTTTTTTATTATACTAAAAAGTTGTTTTTAAAAACAATAAAAAAACTATCTCAAACAAAATCTTATTTTAAACCAAACTTTATTTATAAACTGCCAAAATATTTAAACATCTTTTAAAAATGAATCATATGATTACAAATTTCAAATTTAATTTTGAAAATTTTCTTGTATTTAAATTTTAATTATTTTATGTTTATAAAATATCAAAAATCAATGAAATTCATAACAATGTGAGAACCAAAAAAAATGCTTAACAAAATCATCAATGATATCACGAAGAGATACAAAAGTCTGCTTCCACGTAAATCAAATACAGGTTTTACATTTCACATAAGATCCAAAAAGATCAAATGCCTCATTACAAAGACAATATAACTAAAAAAGGAAAAAAAATAAAAACTTCAATGAGAAGAACAAAAAAAAACAAAAGAAGGAAAAATTACATTTGAACAGCTAACTGCTCAATGACTACTTCCAGTTATCCGCAACAATGTGAGCCAAATCTACGACCCTCTGCGAGTAGCCCCATTCGTTATCATACCATGCAATCACTTTGACCAGATCATCACCCATCACCATAGTTAAAGATGAATCAACTGTTGAAGACACATCGGAGCACCGGAAGTCGACGGAGACAAGCGGTTCGTCGCAAACGGAGAGGATACCCTTCAGCTCCTTCTCTGCACTGTCCCTGAAAGCAGCATTGACCTCTTCGGCGAATGTCTTCTTACTAACTTGGACGACAAGGTCGACGACGGAGACGTTTGGGGTGGGGACTCGAAGGGCGATCCCGTTAAGTTTGCCTTTGAGAGTGGGGAGGACAAGGGCCACGGCTTTGGCCGCACCGGTGGATGTTGGGACAATGTTGAGGGCGGCGGCACGGGCGCGGCGGAGGTCACGGTGGCTGGCATCCAGTAGCCTTTGGTCACCAGTGTAGGAGTGAGTAGTTGTCATTGTTCCTTTGATGATACCTGTTTGCAAATGTACATTTGTTATGCAAAGCTTGTATCAAACTGGGGGGTCATAACGTTTATATTCCCAGATTTTGTCCAGAACTTGTAACACAGAGCTTCACAAATGCTACTTTAGTTTTTGGTGTTTTCATGTGGACATAAGGAATGAACAGAGTTATGATTTGGAGTCTAGACTGGTAAAGCGCTCAGGTGTAAGAGACAACGTAATGGTTATCTATTTTTGTTAAAATTTGCAGAACTTTGCCGCCTTGCATACACATTGAAATAATACATAAATAGTGCAACAAAAACATCAACATCAAGCCTTTATCCCACTACGTGGAGTCGGCTACATGAGTCTTTTTCTCCATTATGTTCTATTAAGAGTCAAATTTTCATTTAAATCTATTAAGAAAACATCATTTGTAATACTTTTTAACCAAGTTTTTTTAGGTCTAACTCTATCTTTCTTAACATAGGTCATATTTATCAACGATTGTGTATCTAACAAATGTTATTTTATGTCAGCAGTATTTATATGAAATATTACTATTTATATAAATATTGATGGCATAAAATAGTATTTGCTAGATAAGTATTCCTTGATGAAGCTTTTCCTTAAAAAAAATAATTTAAATAAGGTAGAAATGAAACTGCTCAGATTGGATTCTAAAAAAGGTAACCCCAAAGGAATCTGTTCGGAAATGTGTCATCGGCATTTATTGAAGATAATAGCAAATAGTAAGATAGAAATGTAAACCCTAAACAAAAAAAATGTTGCTAAGATGGAATGGGTAGAACAATTTAAAGCAAAGATTCCATCGTAAGTGGGGATGAAACTGAACTGAAAGATAAATGGATGACTAAAAATGTCAAACACCGCACAGTTGGGGGAAAAAATACTGCTACAGTACGCTGCAATAACTACTAGTCTATTACGATAACTAAACCCCTCTTTGTTTCTTTTGAAATACAAATTCACATCCCATCATCTTATTCACGCTACTCCCATACATAGCTCTCTTTGATTTGTTGGTTAGGAATTTGGCTCTCAACTAAGAGGTTACAGGTTCGACTCTCGCATGTGTTGTGTGTGTTTGAGAGCTATGAACCAATATATTTTCTTTTATTTCCCTTGTTTTTTTTCCCTCTAATTGGATGGTTTGCATGCTGTATAGTACAAGGTTACTAAAAAAATAAAAATAAAAATAAAAAATACTATAAGGTTACTACTTACTAGTTCATCACTCATCATTTACTTGTTATCACAAACTCATTCTTAATGTTAGTAAAATAACAACTAAACGACTAGTTTATTTATAAAATCGTTTACTCCCCCATCCTAGATTTGGTAACTCGTTCTTATTCTCTTACCAATGTGGTTCCTTTGGGGTCCTTATTAGTACACCATAAGTATGCTCCTCCCTCATGGTTGCTAAACATTGTTTTCCTTGCTAGTGGATTGTAGGTTTATATGCATTTGATTGGACGCAATAACAGATGCAGATTCATTTATAATGGTTAGCCAGTTCATTTATTGAATATGATACTCGTGTCTTGGCAAACCATTTCAAGTTTATTAGTGTGCTACAATAGGCTGCTTATTGCTCCAATCTTCTGCTGGAGTTGTACCCTTCACACTCTTCAAAGGGAAATAATTGATGATAAATGTGATGTAGCCTGCCACAATATTCAGATGCATATGAGGTGTACTCTCCACCTCTATCAAACCTAAAAGCTTTAATCTTTCATCTCATTTGTACTTCTACATGATTTTAAAAGTCTTATTCAAAGTGTGCTTTAAGTGTGAATTGAAGCGATGCGTTGGCCCGCTGCAAAGCTCATTACTTCTCTGTTCTCTCCCACTGGTTCTAGTCACTTCATAATTGTTATTCACTTCATGTGTATTCCACTGCTAATTCTTATATGCTTTCATTAGTGATTGACTAATTGTTGTTGACTGTTAGACCGGTCCAGCTAGTCCGCACGGGACCGGCCCTTCGCAATTTGTCGCGGGATCTCCGCCTCCTGCGGAGATTGAGCGGCCAGACCATCCAAGTAGAGCGTTTTAGGAAGGATTTTTAGGGGGATTAAGATAGAAATTTGAATGTATGGACTGTTTAGGGAATTCCTTTTGATTTGTATGCATTAAATAGTTGATTTTCCTAAGGTTTGGGCATCTTGAATTTGGCTGAAATTTGAGATCTCTTAGATTTAGGTTTTCTTTGGGCTCTAGCGGCGTCTAGAGATTTGGGAGAGATCGATCCTCCTCTCGAATTGAGGATCAAGTGTATCTTGCTATTTTCCGTGTTCCTTTCATCAAATAATACAAGTTATCTACTGTTTTTGTGATATTGTGTGGACTTTTTTGAAGAATTATTGATGTTTTTTATAAGATTGATAGGAAATACTTGAGATCTACAAGTGTTTCCTATCAAATTGGTATCAGAGCAAGTCTTGGTACCGGTGGAGGGCTGTTTTCGGCAAATTCCAGCAGCAGCTTTTTGCCCGGAAAAGGAGGAAGTTGCTGTTTTTTACTCCAAAATCCAGATTTTGTGAATCTACAAACTCCGGATTGTAATGGCGGTCAAGAAAGTTGATGCTTTGGATGAGAGACTCAAAGGAGAGATGAATCACATCAAAGAAACCGTGGAGGAAAGAATTTCTTTCATGGAGGGGCAAGTGGCCGATCTCAGGGATATGATGAAAAGAATGCTGGATCTTCAAGCACAAACGGCGGCATCCGAATTGAAGGGCCCAGAAGCAAAAAACACCAATTTTGAAATCCGTAAGGAGAAAGAAGAGGTAGAAATCGTGGAAGGGGAAAGAAGAAGACCCTATGTGGAACCTTTCCATAGGGAGGAAAGAGGAGATCGACATGGGGAAAGGTATGGCTATGGGGAGCGGGGCAAAGAGGGGCTGATTGGGAACGCCATGAGGGGTTTTACAGCAGTCGGGCTGCTAATTTTGAAGAAGGGGGGGTCTAGAAGGGAGTTTGGGCTATGGCAGAGTAAGGGAAGATCAGGAAACATGGGGTGGACCTAGCACTTGGGAGAGGAGAAATTATGGGAGAATCAGGGGAAATGGTGGCGATCAGAAGGTGAGGAAGTTAAGAATGCCCATATTCGAAGGAGAAGATGCGTATGGGTGGATTTATAAGGTTGAGCGATACTTCTCCGTCAATGGGCTGACGGAGGAGGAGAAGCTGACAGCAGAAGGACTGTGCTTGGAAGGAAAAGCCCTGTCGTGGTTTCAATGGAGAGACCAGAGGAGGCCGATCAGGAACTGGAGATAATTTAAAAACTGCATAATAGAGCGTTTCCAAACCGATCAAGGAGGAGACTTCTATGAGCAGTTCTTTGCTCTGACACAGGAGGGATCAGTAGCAGATTACCGGGAGTAGTTTGATCACCTAGCTAGCAGGGTGGAGCGACTCTCAGATACAGTGTTGGAGGGGAATTTCATGAAAGGGTTGAAGGCGGAGATCCGAGCAGTAGTGAAGGTGTTGATGCCCCGTGACTTGGGGAGGGTGGGGGGGGGGGCATGAAGTTGGCACAGCTGGGGGAAAATTAGAAGAATCCGGTGGCACAGCTGGTGGAAAATTAGAAGAATCCGGAGAAGGGAGCCAGAAGCAGTAGCTCAAGAGACTCTTACAAAACTACAACCACTCTTCTAGCACCCAAGGGGTCTGCCTCAGGCAACATTAATGAGACCACCAGGGAGAAGCCAGTAGGAGAGAGTGGGGAAAATTTCAAGAGGCTGATAGAGAAGGAGATGTAGGAGAGGAGGGCAAAGAATGCTGAGGAGTGCTGTTGACCATCCGGGGGATTCAATAATGCATATAATATACGTATATATGACATAACTCACGAATGCTCTAGTTAGTAAAAGCACCACTTTGCTTTGTATTTTGTGCATTAAAGAAAAAAAATGAAGCCTTATGCATCACCTTGTACTTAACTCTTGAAAACAATGCTATAAATACAAAGAATGCTGCAAACTTATCTTTCGAAAAATAAATAAACAACTTCCTCATGCTGTAATCAATACAACAACAACAACAATATCAAGCCTTTATCCCAGTATGTGGGGTCGGCTATATGAATTCATTTTTTTTTTTAATGATTCATGACCATAATCTTGGACAAGCACCTAATCATGCCTGCATTAAAAAGTTGTTGCAACTAGACAAAGTTGAGATGACCAAGGCAAAGGATGACACCTCCCGGACTCATTCTCAGTCAAGTTCTTTAAGAAACGTCATGAACTTGGTTTTGAGTTAAAAATGAAACGTCTTGTTTCTTGTCAATTTTGACTTCTGATGCTCATCTATTTTAGTAAGAGATCCATCCTTTATATTCACTATATACCTCTAACAAATCCAATGCCGAGAATGTTACTTTGCATTTTACATACATTTTATGTATAGCAGATACATACACGGTCTCCAACTTTTATATGCTTTTTCTTCACATTTTATTTTTTGAAGCATTGCCTAAACTGACAATATTATCCAAATCTTCTACCAGGCTACCAGCTACACAAAAACTCTTCGCTAAAGTGGTTGCACACTTCCTGAGGCAAGAGGCCAGGCTTCTCCCTACACAAATGCTTCGTCTCTGGATGAAATTATAGAGGCCTGTGTTTCGTTATCATATAAAAATTCAAAAAGTTTGACTGCTCATTTTGGTATAGAGATCTATGTTATGTCATTCTTGAGAGAAAGTTCTTCTTGAACATCTTGGAAGAAAGAGAGAGGGTTAGGAAAGAGAGAGGAAGAGCAGCTCACATGAATTTTATTCCTTTATTAATGGGCTATTATAAGAGGGGCACCCATTACAACATCTTATATATAAGAATTAGACACCGTTGTGGTGTCTTGCGGAACATCGTAAGTAAAACTGGACCAATACATTGATCCAATTTTATGATCAAAGAACCACCGTTTACAAGAATTCACGCTTGCTGCAATTCGACCGGCTCCTTGCCCTAATTTAACGAGCAAAATGTGTTGAATC